CACGATTCTGCACATATTAAGGAAAGTAGACATATTGCAGCATGGAGTCGTTCTTACAATGCGATAACTGTCCATCATTTAGTACAGGCTATAAAACTTTCACGTCAATATAAAATTCGTTAAATTTCAAATCACTCGTCCATATTTTCTAGAACAGTTGACTGATTGTAGCTTTAATTACTGCCTTTCAAATCATAATTTATTATGATGGCGTCAAGCGAAATTAAAATCTGCGACGCGTATGCGTGGACAAGAAAAAATAAGTGGCACCACATATTAATTTGGAAAGACACTACTTATTCTTTCCGCTGACTTGTATTGGCCTATTAACACTAGAACTATTGTATAGTCAAAATCACTGGTTTCGATTTATTTGATTCGCAATTATTGGCATCTTAAAAGCATTGAATACTCGAAATAATTTTGAAAATAAATAGTTTCACTTGATTACCATAATTAATGTCTGAAGAAACTGAAAATAATCTACTGTTACAATTTTTATGCGGATTACATATTAATCGTATTAAATGCTCGGTAGTTCTAGTGTTAATCACTTCTAACTAACTTATACTACGAATTTCTCTTAACTTCTTCCAGCCATTTTCCTTAATTTCCTCTATAGACTTCAATTTCGCTCGGTAAACCAATACGAAATATGAACCCCGTCTCGCTTAGAAGCTTCCATACTTCTCGGCTTCCTCGTAGAATCTCTCCATTTCTTCCTTAGCAGCTTGGATAATGGCGATCCTGCAAGGATTCGGATCCCAGTTGATACCCGGACAGCCTGCGGACTCGAAACAAGTGACTAAGCGCTTGTTATTCGACGAACAACATTGGGCCACAGCCCAAACGCAGGGCGGAGGACTCTTCACAGGTGGACGCTGAGTAGGTGGTGCTGGGAAATTGGGCACCTCGAGTCCTTTGCCTTGCGGATTAAAACCCTGTGAAAAAAATCGAACTTTGAGTAATGATTTCCACATCTTGGCAGAGTTTCATTTAGAAAAGTAACAGGAGTAAGATATAGATCTTACCGTGAATTCGATCTCGTTCCCAAAACCTGCCCTTGACGAAATAACCTGTGTGGGAGAAGATGTTCCAGGCCGGATTATTATCCTCGCACTCACTGGTAGCGCGTTCAGCCTGGCCGCTTCCTGCCGCCTCCATTGTTCTTTCGTGGCTCTAGCACGCTCCTGGTTTTCTCTGGCTTCCTTTGCCCTATAGGGTATAAGGGGGCATAGTCAGTTCGAATCAAAAAAGGAAAATCGCCCGTTTAAGAGCACCGCGCTATCGCCTGCTCTTCCGCAAATGTTTATGTTTGCCTCTGTTACCGTCTAACGCGCTGTGGTTCTCATATGTATCGAACTAACAATCACTGAGTTTTGCGAAGCTATGCTATAAAGTAATTGTTCTAGAAAATATTATACATAGAATCTATTTAAGTGATAATAATTATTAACATTTATCTTGAAAAGATGAAATCTATTATGATGACTATTTTTAAAACTATTAGAGACAAGACAAATGTGCGAAGTTTGTAGTTTACAGTGACAACTGAACAATTCAGCACATTTGTCTAAATAACAATGCTAAAACATAGTACTTGTTTAATATATATATATATGTATGTTTAGAGTATTTATATATTCAAGTATGAAGTGAGAATAAATTTATATTTTAGTGCTTACATTATCAATAAAGCTATGTGTATATTAAATTTCATTTTTTGATGCGTTTACATAGAATATTTATGTAAATGTGCATAATTAAATAGATTATACACACTTACCATTTTCTCACAGTTATCATATAAAGTTTTGGGCTGTTCTCTGCTTAAGTGGTCAAAATTGTGTATATATTCACACATTCTGGTGTTAATGTTTCGAATATTTTGCTCCATTATTAATTATATTTTTTTATACATTTATCAAAATGTATAAACAGATCCTCAAAACGAATTCTCATATCGCCATATCTTATTTTGATATGTATTGATTTTAATGTTAAAATGTATCATGGTATAGGAATGGACAATTTCACTATTATATTTCGAAAGTGCATAAGTGCAAATAGGCAATGTGGAGCTATACCTTCTGCTGCGTTGATAAACGCATCCATTCATTTAAGATCCTTTGAAACATCTTTATTCAATTTTTATCGACTCCGGCAAGTGACACGAAAAAATCACAGTTGTTTTGCTTAACACGTTAGGTGCCACAGGAAAATTCGGTTATTTTACTTACAGCTTATTGACTTTTTTTATAAACAATTAGTTATATTCTGTGAGTTTTTGTTTACTTTTATATATTTTAACGCCGTATCGTCACATTTTCACCGTTTTGTAATGGATACTAAAGAAAATTGTTTCCCAAAACGTTTTTTCTTGCAAAAAGAAATATTTCTTTTCCAGAAATGAACGTGTACCATCTGTGATAAACGCAGCATTGATCGTGATAATTTGGAAAGTTTCAAGTTCAACGATTTCTCTAATCGATAATAGTGCCGTTAGTTGCACACATTTCATATTTATACAGTGACACCTTTTGGACATTTACGAGCACCCTGAACGGTCGACCATTTACCTGTTCTGCTCAACCCTTCGTATCTCGGCCTCTGCCCTCCTCCTCTCCATCTCCGCCCTCCTTCTCTCCATCTCCGCCCTCCTTCTCTCCATCTCCACCCTCTGTCTCTGGAGCTCTGTAGCTCTCCTAGCCTCGTTCGCGACTAAATTGGCCGGAACAAGGCTCGTTTCCTGCCTCCTCCTGTGCTCCTCAAACCGTCTGCGATCCCCATACACCGAACCCATATTTTCCCGCTGACTCGTTCTTCCAGCATGCCTCTCCGCTATCTCTATCTTCCGTCTCTCGGCCTCCAGCCTTTTTCGTTGCTCCTCGTATCTGCTCGACTGTATCCTTCGGACCTCTTCCTCTCGCCTTGAAGCCTCTCTCCTTAGCTGCTCCTGCTCGAGCCTCTCCCTTTCTCGAATTTTCTCTTCTTCAGCTCTTCGAGTCGCGTCCCTTCTTCTAGCCTCCTCCGCGTAGCTTCTGGGATTGACGTTCGTCATGGCTGACGGACCGTGATCTCTTCTTCCGCCCCCGGGACTCGGATACCTCGATCGGTCATACCATGCCGCTTCTTGCATCCTTCTTCTGTGCTCCTGCCAGTTGCTTTCGTGAGAAGCATTCGCCTTCGGCAGCTGGATCGGTTGATTCCTCCTGATATAGTCTTGCAACTTGCGTTCCTCTTCCAGCCTTCTACGGTTCGCTTCCTGATTTCGCCAGTCCGCGGAGCTATTCACATTAATCGGCCGATTGCGTTGTATGTACTCTCGAAGTTTTTGCTCCCGTTCCCATTGTTCCCTAGATCTACCCTCGTTAGGATTGACTCGCACACTCGAAGGCTCGTCCCTGCCCCTGGCCTGTTTCCTTCTTTCTTCCTCTTCTTGCTCTTGTCTCTTCAGCCACCACTCGCGCCTCCTGTTCTCCAGGTTTCTCCTATCCTGCTCCTGTTCTCTACTTCTCGCTTCTGCTTCCGCTCGCAAACGCGAGGTTTCATCACGCGAGCGAGACTCAAGTTCTCTGCGGGAAGCCTCCTGCCTCCTCCTTTCTTCATCTAGCCATTGGTTTCTTAATTCTTCTTCTTGAAGGCGACGTCTATGCTCTTCCTTCATCTGTCGTCTGTTCGAATACGAACGATGCAGTTCTCTACGCCTCTCTTCTTCCTGCTTCTGCGCCAACAACTTGGCGTAATCGCTCCTGATCCTTTCTATGTCCATGTTAGTTCCATTCTCGACGGCCTCCCTCTCACGACTCTTCTCTTGTCTCCTTAATTCCTCCTCTTTTCTGCGTCTCTCGTACTCCAGTCTCCGACGCTGATTCTCCGTTTGCAGCTCGTCGCTAGACACCACGCCCTCGTCCTCTCCGAACCCCCAAGTTGCTCGCTTCAAGGGTTTCCGGTGCTCGGAAAGGTCATCGGTAATCGACTCCTTAGCCCACAGGATTTTGCGAACTTGATTAGTCGGCCAGTGATCCGTGGATTGTTCGGTGCTCTCGAGCTGGACGCTTCGCTTCACTTTAGCTGGGCTGCGCCCGCCTTCGGCCTTGCGATTGTTATGGACGATCTTGGCAGGCGAGGCGGAGTCACTGTTTGCGCTAGACTTGCCCAGATCACCGCGGACTGGCAACTTGTCCCCACGTTTCTCGTTATCCTAAAGTCAAGAAACGAAAACAGTCGTATGTTACCAATACCGTAGAATTTCCTCATTGGATTATTATATTATGACAACTATGGGTTTACCGAGCTAACTTGAGGTTTGTAAGAGAAGTGGGAGAAGTGGTGGAACATACAGAACGTTTGCGGAATTCAAAACTGGATCGAATACTTTCTTTCATGAAATGATACGAATTCGAAAAGAAGCACAGCAGATTAGTTAATGCAAGTAAACAAAGAAGAAAAAAATAAACGAAGCATCAGCATACTTCGCATGTTAATTATCCGCATAAGGTGAATTCGACATTATCCGATCTAAGTGATGGACATGTGTCTTTGTTTATATCCGCTGACTCTACAGATCCACCCATTTTCTCCTTTTCGCACGCACATGCGCGATAGAGATCTCGGTTCTGCTCGGTAGATCCATACTGTGCAAGTTTCAAACGATTAATCCTAGAAGATTTTCAAGTCGTGCCTGAAACTCTGCGTATAAAGTTGCCTCCATATCTCCCCTGTTCTGCTTCAACCCCCTCGTCGAGGTCTCTAGTTTCTTCAACTTTACCAATTCATCTATCTCCTCATACTTCTCCTCGGACAGATCAAAATCCAAGTCCAAGGATATCGGAGTTACCTCCGCCCACAAGTCGCCTTCTTGATCCTTGCTCGCAGAGTCGATGGACCTTTTCTGCTTGTGATTGGTTGCTTCCAGTCCTTCGCAACCGACCTGCAGCTCCGGTACCCCACCGATACTAAAAGGATCGCTGTTAAGAGGCGCGTCCGAGCTGTGGTCATCGAAGGAATTCGATTGCTTGTGGAGGATCCTTGGACTGGTAGTCTTGTATTCCATAGTCTTCGTTTCCCAACTGCTGTGACTGGTCTTCTTTGGCACCTTGCTTTTGCCATTCGTTGGCAGTATGGACATGGGTATCGGGTTTAGTAGAGGACGTTCTCTAAGCAGATCCAACTTGTATATTTCTACCGAGCCAGGCCCTTGATCCTGGAACGTGTCATCGGCCACGAAAGGATCATCTGACTCGGGTGGTAGCTCATGGATAGATAATCCTGGAGATTTTGTGCTTCGATCAGTAATATTCTGATCTAGCAATTTTTGGCCGGCGAAATCGAGGAGCTGTTTATCCTGCAGCAAGTATGAAAAATCTTCAGAGGTGCTGTTCCCTATCCAAGGGAACAATAGATCTTTCCCCGCGTATTTGACGCTGAATGATCGATCCTTGGTTTCTGAAAAATGGATAGTTGCTTGAATTAGATTTTAAATATTAACTGTTGCACTTTAAAACAAATAATTTCAATAAATGTTCTTTAAATAGATTACGTGAATTTATAACGTAACGTAGTGTATCGTTGATTTCGTAGTTTAATTTTGTTCACATATTTTTTGCTAAACAGTTGATTCGAGTACAAAATGAATATATTCTCTGTAAAAATAAATTTATTATTTGTTTAAACTTAATTTACAGTTTATTTACAAAACAAAAAAAAGACATATCATTTAAACCTTGAAATATTCATCTCTATTGTGAATGACGATTTTCAACTCTTGAAGTAAAAATGAAAAATTTCAAATTCGCGAATATGTTTAAATTTAAAATGAATTAAGTCCTAATAAGGTACATGTTTTACAAGCTGATAATAAAGTACAAGTTGTGAATCAAAAGAACTATTTTTAATTTGAATAACATGAATTGTAAAACAGTTCTCATTAAATTTCATTACACCGCTGTTGTGCACAGTTACTGATCATAAATAAAATTCTTACAAATTTTCTTAATTATTACAAAAATAACGTTTGTGTTTGTTTTTAAACATTAATAAATTTTATTTTTACTTTTTGTCGGTATTACTTTGTAAATTTTAAAAAATTCAAATTTGCAACGATAAAATCTGATAAAATTTTTCAATGTGTATCTTGATAATTCAAATATTTATAATCTTTTCGGTAACTTCTTATATATTAGAGTTGTAACAGGAAGAAATAAAAAATAAATAAATTTAAGCCTGGAATGATGTTTTGTTGATCTTTGTATTGTTCACGGCAACGAAAGGGAATGGAAAAAGTACAAAAATTATTCATTTTTTGAAGGATAACGAATTCTGCATTTCGAGCCCAATCCGCGTTTATTTATGTTTATGTTGATGTTTATTTAATGTTAATGTAGATCATTAAATTTGAGTAAAAACAAACGTTAAGTTATTTAGGAAATATTTAAACACATATTTACAAAATTATAACTGTAACATTAAAACAAACGAAGTTATTTAATGTATTGTATAAAATTGAACTTTTCTGATCCTTTATCAACTCATAATTATGTTAATGATACGAGTTCACTTAAACATTCATAATTTAAGTATAAGTGAGCTGAAACAATAATTAAACATTTTTGGTTAAATATCTGGGTTGAGCGACCTCTTCGCTGATCACAATAACCTTAGAATGTATTGTCAAGGACGACATTCTGAACAACGTACTTCTAACTTCAACGTACACATACAACAGAAAGATGTATCGTATTACATACTTCTCTTTCTTTATAAATGGTGCTTTATATGATATAAAAAAGAAAGTTCTGTTTAGACAGTGGAGGCTGATATTAGTGAGGTTGGTCTTTTCGGGATAGCGGTCTGGAGGTTGAACTCCCACGATATTACTTCACAATTGATATTATGAAGCGGGATTATAAATCGTACCAATATGCTAGGATTATAGTATATAATGATCCTTATATAATAATAATATATATATATATAATATTATGCATTAATAAATTATTATAATATAATATTCTTAAATAATAATATGCTATAATATATAATATATGTACCCCTGCTTAATAAATCATCTCTATTAATACCAATCTGTATTATGTAAATAGAAGTAATTTATAATACATTTATAATAAACGAAATAACATAAGGGAAAAAAATCTCAGCGTGACGAAACATTTTATTGCGAAATTTTAAAATATTCATAACTTTTGAACCAATCACTGCTGAAAAATTATGTGTTGAGCACACAGAACAATGATTTTAATCAAATATATCAAGGCCAAGGTCATGTGAGAGGTTCCTTTTTCTGGATAGTTCCCATGATATCCTTTTTGTGTATATATTGTGTCACCTCATAAATAATATGATTTTTATGCTAACTTTTAGTATAAAAAAATTAATACTTGAGTTCTTTTATTCAGCGATGTATAAATCATCGCTGTGTACGACCTTTTCTCGTTTTCCGATTAATCCCTTAAAATCATTTTCGAAAAAGTTCCGTGGCTTTCTATTAAAAAATTCATTAGAAACGATACTGCCCATGGGATAACTTAATATTTTCGCGAATATTTCGAAAACTAAAAGAAACTGCCTAATAACATATTTCAAAGTCACTGCGATTGATGAGGAAATTATACATGCATGCAATTACACAGGTTCGTTCCATTTTTAAATTGTCAAATTTAATTTCTCAAATTTCATGACCCTGTTTAATATAGAACATTCTTTAAAGTTCCTAATTAATATATAAGATACAATATTATTATTCTATTCAAACTTGATGTGACTGAATTGATGCGACCCAGGCCACAAATGTCGAAATTTCGAATTCTTTCTTTAAAACTGCATATTTTGAGTAATGATGACCATTCAAACAGAAAATAAAGTTCCATTTCGCAATAAACCTTCAAAGTATATGCACAGAGATACAAATTTGTATAGACATCTGTGGTCCAGTACTTACTACCGAAATTAATGTTGTAAATTGCATGTTGCATAACGACCGATTTAATTCATCGGCGAAAGATTCATTGGCGGTCCTAAGTTACCGGCGTTACAGGCTCTGATCAACTTACCACGCTTATCCGTATCATTCCGTCGGAGAACCTCATTACCCGTCCCTACAGCCTCGAAATAATCGAGCTCCACTATCCTTGTTACTGATTCACCGATCTGTGCAGGATAGGCGCGTCGTTCATTGTGTAAATAAAAAACTGACGATTTCAAATGCAAAAATAACGCGAAAACCCCGAATAGGACAAGACTTGCCGCGCTATCGCGAGCGTTAAACACACAGCGTTGCTTAAATTTCTGATTAGCAAAACTAAACTGAGAAACGACTAACAGAACGCCACGCGCTTTAGTATATAATTTAATTTTGATAATCAGAATGCTTGCTCATTGCATGTTTTTATCCAAACGATGAGTCGCCGAGCTTATACTAAGTTCACTATAAAACACTAACTTCTGCAATAACTGTGCCTTACGTTCTGAGTTTGTAGGATGTACGCTGAACTTTATTGAATGCGAGTCTAAAGTTTCATTTCTGAGAACAATTTGAAATGCGTACCGCCGAGCGAAACTAATTAATTACGTTTGTCCTCTGCTACTTCTTTCTGTATATAATAAACTGTCGTGATGGTTCATTGTATCGTGTTTTGCATCTACTATCGGTCTTACTTTATTCTCAACCGAATCTACATAACAAGTAGAAATGCTCAGTAATGGTCAGACGTAGAAGGAAAATCATTTTTTATAGATAAAAATATATAAACGTTTATACAGTATAGATCGTGTCAGCATTTACTCGATTATATCAAAAATTACGTGGCATCTTATCTGTCAGAGATGAGTGCATTATAGCTTTGCTGAACAATCTTGCCGCTGTTACCGATTTTCACTTAGTTTCTTCCACCAATTTTCCTTAGCTGCTTGCATTGATTTTCCTTAGTCTCTCCCACCAATTCTCCATAATTCTCCCCAGACACTTTCAAGTTCTCCCGGTAAATCTAAATGCCTCTCTTTCAGTTGTTCCACAAGCTGAATCCGTCATTTCGCGTTTCAAATGGTCTAGCACTCTTTAAGGTTTTCAAGGGAAAGCGAAACAAGTCACGTTCTGTGTAAAAAAATATCAAATAATTCAACGACGACGAAGATTTTAAACTGATTCTGACAAATCCGAATGTTAATCAATTTTATAAAAATCAAATTAACTCCTTGCCTCATAGTATGAAGTGCGACTCGTAATGAAGTTTTGAAACCAAACTTACCACATGTCAGTATTAATTTTCTCTTTCAACTCGAATTTAATCTTAGTTGATCAATCGAATATTATCTGTCTTTAATGAACATTTAAACTGTACGGTAAATATAAATTCACAATCTACATAGAATTCTTTCTTCTTTTAATTTGCTATTAAGCGTAATGAAACCTTAAAGACGATAGCTGCGGAAGAAATCGTAAGACAAGCGGTTAAATATTACTTTCTACACTTTGAAAACTTAGAAGGAAAGGTATCGAACTCAAAAATTAACTTCAAAAATTATGAAACCTTGCGTGTAAGTAGAGTAAGTCAAGCCTAATACATTGCGATTCGTTTCATACCGAATTTCACTTTGAAGGGATGAAACCACCCCCCGAAAATATAAATGTTTCTTTCCCATGGATTATCTTCAGAACGATAAGGGATAGTAAAACAACATTTCGACAAAAAATACATTGTTTCTTCAGGTCTATTAAATTGTAAAAGACAATTTCTCAAAATTTTGAAAATAACATAACTTCTTGAAAAATTTTATTTTACAATTTTATAGATGTGAAAGAACAGTATTTTTGTGGAAAATTCGTTTCGCTATCTCTTACCGTTTTGAAGACAATCCCCGGGAAAGAAAAATTTGCATTTCTTCTGAGGGATGGTTTCACTCTTTCAAAATGAAATTCGGCACTAAGAGAAATTGCAATGTATTAGACTTACTGTACGTACACAGAAAGTTTCATTAATTTTTAAATTTATTGGTTTGATACCTTTCTTTGTTAGTGAACCAAATGGTGAGATATACCCGCTTTAAAGTAAGTCGCTGCATAATCGAATTATAAGATCATTTACTTCTCCTTTAGCAATGAATTGCCTTCTATTTTCTTTGTTTCTTTCTTTATTATGTAATTATTCTTCTATCGGTGTTAGTTGCATTGCGTCAAATACCTTTCTTGCTTTCATGGAGCACAATTTTTAATCAAATTCGTTACATTAGTACAACTGAAGTTAATAGAAAAGATTATAGTTATAGTCGATTTTTACACGATGGAAAACGTACAGTTAGGCGTGGCGTGCACGGTTGCCTAAGTGTTAACCTTCGGAATTAACGTGGACATAGAATAAACATAAAATTCTATTCTTGTTTGTAACAAATTACTAACGGCAATATGGTTTTATCGAGTGTAATTACGAAAGAAATCATACGACTATGGGTTAGTCCTCAGATCTTGAAACTTAGGGTATATTAACCCTTAACGGCCGAAAAACCCCGCTACGGGGACATGAAAAGAATTTAGTTTTCATTTCATTTATTTATCATCGTCGTAGTTTTCTTTATCAAATATTGCAACTTATTACATCATTAGTTTGTTGATCATGCACTGACAAAAAATATTTACTGTAATATAACGTTTTATGGGCGAGTATTACAAAAAAAAGTTCTCGACCGTTAAAGGTTAATTAATTTGTTTTGCTATACAGCTACCAGCATTTCCGTTTAACTAACATAAGCTCATAAAGTGATCCACTCTGTTTCTATCAGAGCGTTGGAATAAAATCACTGGTAACTAGAGCGAGCATCTGACGTACGGGTATCAGCAGACATCGATCTCCGCGGACCGATCGAGGGGTCGAACGACTGATTCTCCGCAGGACCCTGATCCTTCCAATTCGGCTGGTCCTCTATACTTCTATAGAATCCATGGCGGTGCGAGATCAAAGGGGCGTATTGATCGGGTGTGAGGCGAGAGGGGTGGAGGTAGCTGGTAGCCCCCACCATCGTCACACACACCGCTAGCCAGACCATCGCCGGAACCACTGTCACCCCCCGCAGCATCATTCTGCAATCAAACGGATATTCTTCGTTACTACTGTTTCCCTCTCCAACGAGCAAAGCGGCAACGCACTTCGCGTCAATTCATCGAGCGACACCCGTAAAAATACTTTTTAACCTGTTAACCGAGGTAGACCAGTTAACTCGTCATTTGCATCGTGTCATATCTCTATCAATAATTTATCATTCTCTCACTTACGTTCCTACGCCACAGTGGATTTTCACCGTCGAATAATCAACCGGTTATTCGGTTAATATTATCGATGCTGGTTTACTGTTCGTTCATTGTTAGCCGGATTAATTGCAACCGGTACCTACTCCGTTAGATGTTTTTCCTTATTTTGTAAAATTTTGGAAAAGTGACGGAGGAAACGATTTCGAATTTACATTTAAAGCAAACGTAAAAAAGCTTTTCTTAAGGATATTTTAAATTATCACAGTCTAAGATTTTTATGAATAAAGCTCACGTGATATAATGAAACATTAGATAATTTATGTATAGCTTGAAACGATGGTTTTAATAATTTGACTTCTATATTTCTTAAATTATAATAATTAACTACAAATGCATAGACAAAATGGAAAAGGACATACACTTTTCACAGTTTTCAATACTTTCAATTGAATGTCATATGCTTTCCTTTGTTGAATGAAGACGAGTTTTGAATTTTATTATATATTATTACGTTATTACTAGAGTTAGTTTCGAACTAAAAAAATACGTATCTTTCCGAACTACAATTAATTATTCTTGATGTAAATTCACATCATTTTATTCGATGTAATGTAACGTGTTATGTTAATTTTTCCAGTAAGGAACACTAACAAATAATGTTTTATAAAAAAAAACACGTGTTTTCGCTATTTTATAGAACGGAGAAAATATGCAGATAGATCCAATAAATAAAACTGAAGGACATGTACACATATTAAATACAATATTTTTCAAATTGTTTAAATCATAAAATTCCAGAAAGAAGACAAAAAGGAGAAACCTGACTCGATCTCGAGATTCGTCAACTGGCCAACCTTGTCTTAAGCACCATGGCAACGATGCTTTCCGACTATCCTAGTTTCCCCGCGAATTCTGAGAGGAGTCGGTATTTTCCACATACTTAAAAAAGAAATTTACTACCGCATGTACCATTATTATGAATTTCGATAGTCTACATGACGATAATCAGCCTACAAATATTCCTTCCATAATATAAAATAGTTGGCAGAAGTGGATAACAATGTAAAATTGTGTTCCCGAATGATTGAATTAATGATTTCTCTTCTTTTCATAATAGACCGCAATTGAAGGCAATTTGTTTAAAATGAACGTTAAAATGAAAGTTTTCGGCTGCAGTTTTAAATTACAGTTGTTCCAAAATAATTTTAAACGCGTCACTAGCTGGAAAATAACTCAATATTCGAGAACTGGGCAACGCGGTATAATTGTGCCTACTTCAAGTAGAAACAGCAAGAAGTAGTTCGACACACTAGGCAGTCGTACTCGGAAGCACGCGCGTCCCCTGAATGTTTAAACTTGATTTTCTCGACAATAAAACTTCGCGTAGAAAAGTTGTGTTCTACCTTTCTGTCATTTACATGTAGAATCACCTCCTTTTAGCCGTGCGGCCGCGTGCGGCACACCTGGTAATATAAATTCAATATATAAAACAACTGCAGTATGCGCGTATAGTGAACAAACACGGGGTGTTTCCGAAAGTGTGGTAACCCGGATCTCCATTTACATATTTTTCGTGAGCGAGTCTCAAATCGTGAATAGTTTTTTTATTTTTAAAACTTATACCGGCTTTTCATTACATTATTTTGATTTCTCTTGCATTGGCAGACTCCATTTATGCGATTTTCATTTGCGTAAAACGAATTCGCGTATAACGGATACTCCGCGTAAATGGAGGGTCGCGTGTATAACAGCAAACGGAATTACTCTATACAAGAAAGCGAAGTAGGAAATATACAGTAACACTTTTTCGTACGACGCTGTGTTTCCAAGATGATCAGATTTGAAGATTTGTCGAGAGTGCAAGTAATTAACCCTTTGCACTCCAAGAGTTTTCTATCAAAAGTATCCAACACAATTTCTAATGAAATATAGTCAACATTTCTCGAAACTAACTTAACAAGAAATCGTAAAGAAATTAAAGAAGAAGGCGGTTTTATTTTAATATTTCACATATTAATGCATCAAACGCAACTTAATATTAAATATTATACTTCATAATTTTGCTGTACCAAATCGAATGGCTACTGCGAGACGCCTATGCAGTGCAAAGGGTTAAATGAGAATTAGATTAGCAAATTTATCGAGGTATTACTATATTAAAAATCAATATTTTGAACAACTTTTTCCTATACAGGTATATCTCAGTTAGCGCGTATAATAAATCTCAGAAATGGATTACATTATTCAAATATGCACTACGACTTGAAAATTTAAAAATAAGAATTGGTTCCAATTTAAACAGAAGTACACAATAAAAATTAGTAAATGTATCTGTTCATACGTAGTTTATTAATTGATAATAAAATTAACGTGTTTATTATGTTACAAAGTATTTTGAAAGCGCGGATTGTGCTTTTGTGCTTCTTCAAATCATCACATATATCATGATAAGTCGACAAGTACTTTGTCTAAGGTTCTATTATTCATTTTTTCTCTTATTAATTCGCATGGTCCGATCCATATTTGAATGATTAGATTTTTTGTCACAAAAGTCTGAATCTATGAAAGAAGTCTCGCGAATTGCGCATTAACTAAATTTTTGTTCGCATTGAATGTAACATAGTACCATTTTATAATTCGCATAAATCGAATATCGATTTATTTCAATTCACGTTAATTAAGACCTACCTGTACATATAATCGACGATTTAACTTAATTCTTCAGATACTTACGAGAAATTGGCAGTACAATGCATTCTGTTTACAATTGTGCGTCATGTGATACCACATTGTTATGCAGTCGTCTCACGGTGGTCTTAGTATAAAGTGTAAACAAAGCTAGACTCGATTCTTTCCTTACGTTACTATTATTTTCTTTTATATCTATTAAAGAAAATCAGATTGCCTGCTGAGCCCGGTAGCTAACGATGCTCACAGTGAAGTTCTTAGAATGTATTTGTACGATACATTGCCACGGGCACAGAATTCATTGTATGTAAAGGTACCGACAGTTTTTTACAGATATCTCGAGAACTAAACGAAACCGCATGTTATATAAAGGAATTAATCAAGTTGAAAAATATTGATTTCTATAATATATTCAAAAACCATCCAAATCGGTGAGAATGTAACACTCCGATAACTTCACCGCTGTGCCTGCTCGTAACTTCTTCCAAACATTGATAAATCGTAACTGGAAATCCATCGGGAATAAAGTTCTCTAGGAGAAAATATTCTCTATTTCCCACTTATTTTTTCATATAGATTCACGTCCTCCTCAGTTGTACTACGTTTCAGGGAACACCCAGTATAACCCGTGGTCCACGAAGGTTCACCGTGCGTACGTCACGCGGTGGAACGACGACGTCCCGAAATCTAGTTGGAGAAAAGCAAAATGGCGGGTCACGTCTCCAGCAAATCGATCTCTGCAACTAGACACACCATGACCTTTCACTCGCGCCTCGGCTAAACGGAATCACGTTCGTCGTTATACGTGAAAGTCTATCGATTTCAAGACACTCGACTACCGCTCGTAGAAATGCCACCCCTTCACCCCTCGCGTCCGCCCGTACGAGACGGCTCTTATTAGATTCTGTTCCGGTGGACGAAATTTCCGACGCTTCGTGCCTTCGGCGAACCCGGTCCGCCGCTGACCCAAAGAAAAGAGAAGCAACAATCGGTCCTCGACGCGTTCGAGGTGAATCGAGTGATCTTGACACACTGTCCACGCTAAGTCGACACCGGCTAAACTTAACATCCTCCCTCCCCATCTGTATCCTACTGACTTCTTTGGCTTCGCTGGCAAACGCTACCGATCCACTTCCGACAGGCAACATAGTTGTGTAAATCTAATGCTCGGACGATCTTATGCCGGGTCCACACTGACGTTCGCGAATTATGTTCGCCGTCGGTGTGGTCACTTTGACGAATAACGAGCTGCGAGCAGCTCGAAAAACGGAGCCTCGAAAAACCTGTTCATGAATTTGGCGAGTACAGAGACACGTGTAACGAGATCTAACGCGTTCTTGGCGAATTTCACGATCGCTTCGCATTTAACCTGTTAACTGTGAAACTTAGTATCAAAAATCTCTCGTTTCGGCTGCAATAAAATGAAAAAATGAAGTGTGTACTCGTCAAATCCAGAACCAATTTGCCCAGGGTACATTTTAATGGAAAACCAAAGCAAAATAAAGAAGAATTATGTATTTGTGTGAAAGCATAAATAATTCATCGTTGAAAAATTAGTATCATTTCAAGTTTTAAGATGACGTGTCTACACGTCACACTCAGTTAACTGGTTAATATCTGACCGGTGATCTTATGACAGAATTTTCCCGTAGACATTTTACTGCGAAACTTGATTGACTGTTCATTGATAATTTAGGCCTGATATATATATTATCGGTCAAATCTTGATCCGATCTCGGTCCGTTTTCGTTTCGTTCGAATATTCTTCAGTCGTTTGTAAGGTACGTGTTGACACTAGGGATCTCGATCTATGGTCGTTCATGAAAAACAAAAGACAAGAAAAGAATTATCTAGGTTCGATCTTGCTCTGTCTTCCTTCATTAAAAATAGTAAAATAAAAAGAGAATTTTAAGTGGTCTAAAAACAGCTGGATAATGTATTGGGCTTTAGACTAAGAACGTATATATACGCTAACGACAGAAATGGGTCAAACTAATGGATACGATTTAGAACACTCTTATAAAGACCAGTGTACCTTCGGATATAAATTAATGTACATGCAAATACAACTTAACTCGTAAACAACGACTTCTATTGTAGACACATGTGTTACCCAGTTTACTGCGTTTGACGAATATACACGTCATTTTAAATTCAAAATGATACTAATTCTTTCAAGGATGAATTATTTATTTTTTCACATAAATATACACACACACACTTCATTTTTTAATTTTATTACACGCAGAACGAGATTTTTTAAACTAAATTCTATAGTTAACAGGTTAATTCGTGACTGGTCAGCACGTTAAACTTCAGTTCATATTCGATCTACGATTTGAGAGCGATCGCTGTCCAATGGAAGAATTAAAAAATTGCAGCTCATGCGAACAGCAAATCTTTTTCAGATATTTTTGAATGAACTAGAAAGATTAAGAGCAAACTACTCGTGAACTCTGAGGGAGCAAGTCTATAACTGCTTGCGATATGCTCGTGAGCTGTTTACTAGTTCCAGTGTAGACGTGATGCTCTTTCTGTTCACTAACAGTTCGCAAACTGTTCCTGAATCTTTTGCCCAGTATGGACTCAGCATTAGGGAGTCTCTGCGAACATTTGACACGCCACTGTGCCCACGTGTCAGTGTGTATAGATTAAAGATATAATAGTATTATATTACAGTTAACTAATCATGAACTTTGTTACGACGAAAATCAAGAGTAATTATAATTGTAACTTCGATTTAACTTTTGAATTACTAAGAATCACGAGTTTACTGCTGCTATAATAATCCCTTGATAGTAGTGGGTAGCAATGTGTATGAGTCAGAAGTACGGTTATTGATAGAATATGCAGGAGACATACAATTACGGTTAAGTCGAATCATTGCACAGCATTAAATCTCTTTGTTCCTTGGAATTGGCAAGAATATAATGATACTCATCCACTATGAATGCATTTTCAATACAATATATTTATAAGAATTGTTGATTTTTACACACATACATATTGCTACATGCAAGAACATTGCAATTACACTGGTCAACACGATTTTTGTTACAGAAGGTTTAATGGGTCACCTTAACACTATTTCTTATGCTGAATTCGAATATGTAATCCATTTTGCTTCATCACTAACAGTTTTTGAAAAAAGCAGTTCTGAAGAAAAACTCAATTTCTCAATTTTGAACATTCATTGTGTCTTAATTATTAACATTTTTCAAATTTGTCTTACACAGTATTATTCTATGGGCCTTCCTAAACGCAATATCGCAAATTCTATTATTTTTGCAATCAGCAAAAGATATGCATTTTACTTCGCGTTTATTTGTGTACCTATATTAAAGAAAATTCTTTACCGCCCAAATGATTTAAATATTGAACATAACGCTGTCTTTCGTAAGTTGAAATTTATATTTCGAAATGGTGAACGTATTGAAACAATAATTTACATTTGAAACTTAGTGCTGTGACCTAATGTAAGCGGGGTGTTCCGGCACGGTTTATTTGGGTGCGACACAGCTGTCGGTGCGAGTAGAGTTATGGTATGGACAATTATGCGCTAATGTTTTATTGATAGCTGCATTTTACCATCTGGTGTCATAACTGACCGGCAGTTGACATACCATAAAAAACGGCAGCTCAACCACTTGAACCCCGAACGCGCAGCCACCGGTACTCTTGCAGGTCAGAAGGGGCAACGTACCCCCTACCTCCACCACAAGTAATGTGGGCGTAGACAAAAACACTGTCATCGGCAACACCTCGATCGTTCGGCTTCCCGATTTGATACTAAGAATACCGCCCTACACCACTATTTATATATATATAGAGATACAGACTCACGATAAGATCAGACAGACATGTAGTCAACATAAGTTAATTACAAATCACGCCGTACTCACTGGACAAACACACACATCAACTTTGTACACACATACACACTCTTTTCACTCATTATCAATCAACAAATACAGTCCATTTTCAACCGAGAAAAGGAGGAGGCCTTTTTTCATCCCAATTACTTCACACAAAGTTAATTCGGCGTGTGAAAGTGTTATGCAACGTCCACTAACATTGCCTGTACAGCGTACACGAACACGGGGGTTGTAATAATCGTCACACCTTAGATCTGTTAATTCGGCCTCGAGCATCATAAACTGTGGTGCTTGGACAGCTGCGCAGAACATACAACCTAATCTTGCCCTGTAGGTACTGTTTACTGTGGTAAAACCAACGTACAGAATTCGCAGAATAATATTCAAAAAATGTCTACTAGATGCTTTCGCTTTATCTCTACGACATTTCATATATATATAAACATGGACAATAATTGGATGTTCATTATCTAGGTTACACTTCTACATACAGATATTGAATTTGTTATAACTACTACGAGAACATATGAGTTGCCAATGCAGAAGGTTTCCGATTTCGCGTCGAAATAATTGTTGATTTCCCAAATGTAGAAGCAAACCAAAAATGTAGAATACGAATAGCTGTTCGTACGGTCTCGTTTGTAATGGAAATTTTAATCAATTTTGAAAATTTTAATGTCAGTCGGTGGAAGCTTTTCTTTTAACCAGTGCATTGATCCCAAACATTTGTCCGACGATATGATAGAGTTCCGATTATCTGACATTCTCGGGACCGAGTCAGTCCCAGATTATCAAATATGCCGAATCATGAGACTGTACCGATTGAAGGATAAAAAGGAAAAAAATAGTTAAAAGTTAACAAGAATGTTATATAAAGTATTATAAATACATATGTCTATCCACTGCACGAAATAAATTCTTTTCGAAACTAAATTCACCATGAGTTTAACATTAGAACTACGCACCCATTAAAATGACGGTATTCAATTTCTTTGTTTCACAATTATTGGTGCCTTAAAAGTGTTAAATATCCGAAATGATTTTTAAAGTTCGAAGTATGTAGTATTTACCTATATACCTCTATGTTTAGTGTACCTGCTTTTGTGCGTGATGTAGTTTCGAGAAAATTTGTTTAGTATCTGCAAAGGTGTTCGTATTTGCAAAATTTTCGAAATAAAAAACTATGTTCATTTTCATACCCTTTACATAATGAAAAACACATCAAAGGAAATAATGAGTGCAGGTTCTGAGAGTGGAAGCTTCGTGCTTTCAAACGAACTTCCGGTGACTGCCGTACAAAGTTTTTTTTCATAAAGTTATACGATTTTGAACCTGGACAAGTTTTCAACGAAAATTTTGTGATTCTTTAATTTTTGTCGTTGGTATATAGTGCATTGTTGTAGATGCTAGTATGTAATATACTCTAGTATACAGGATGTTTCATTTTAATCTATAAATGCAACTATCTCCAGAATTATTCGTTATTTGAAAATGTCTCAAATAACATTTTTTCCATTCCGAAGGAGCAATAATCTTGTACCCATAGCTTGTATACACTGTATATATATATACGGTTTTTAGAGTCAAAGGGCTAATTAATTGACCCAAAAGGGAAAATAATATGTAGGATCGGCCGGGTTAAGAAAGACGAAAATGTGGACATTCCGCTTGACGGCGTGGAAACCCGGCTCACAATCGGTTAATAAGGTGTTCATTCATTATTATAGCCGTGTATCACATTATTGTTCCATAAGCGAGCATGTTTATGAGATTCTCTGGTCTACCGGTTCTCTCGAAACAAAAGGTAGGAGACCCGTGAATCAGCCTGTTTGGGTATCTCCCGCCAGCACATGCGCTCTCTTTGGCCCAATTCATTTTAGGATAGCTATATGCACGTCTGCATTCGTGTTTACGATAAGCAAAGAAGGTGTGTGTTCCGTAGATACGTTAGTCGAGTTCTATATAATGTTATGTGTATCAAACTATGGGTATAATCACTTTGATCGTCCAAAAATATGTCACTTATATTTGGAATAATATTTGAAATGAAATTAGAAATGTTCAAGACGAAAATTATAAGATATTCAGAGTTGTGTATTATGTTGTTACTTGTTTGACCTTGAAGTGACCGTGAAACTTCCTGTAAAGGACATCTAGACATTTTTAAATAGAAATCAATATATTCTGTTGCATGCTTTTATAGCTGACATTCAAATGTTTTCAA